CTTGTTGTCTTCCACCTGGACCCCTACAGAGTGGACCTCTGTAAGAGCTTTGGCATCTCCTTCCGAATCTGACAGGGTCTCAGAGCTGTCAACCTTAAACAGAAAAGCCACACAAGCCTTACACTCAAACCCCACAGGTGTTAAATAAAACACAAGGCTGCATCAGGCCTTATGGCAGAGCAGCTGCAGAGAAGTATTGTTTCAGACATTTTGTCATTTTTTCCAACACAGTTTTCCAACTGCAGCGTGATGAGGTTATTTTTGTAATGACATCATAATTTACCAGTTTGGCCAGTAAACATCAGATTTAACAAGTACGGTAGTGTTTGACGGCCGGAAGGTCCAATTGCAGCCTGATCACATGGCACCGTTAGTGAAGGTCACCTATGTCATCATGACTGTAAATATGACTGACAGCATCCCATCAGTGACCTCTTTCACCATGACAACAGTCCTCATGCTTCTGTCTCTGTTTGCACACATGCGATCGATATTTACAAAACTGTAGAAGACCTCATACACACAGTCAAGACCACTGGAGTGACAGATGGTCGTCAAATCATCAGAGAGAATCCACTGTTTCAGTTAGAATCGTACACAAACATCGCCAAGCCTTACAGCAGGGAAGCACCGCGCTTTCACTCTGCAACCACAGCCTGCAAAAGGAGGCTCTGCTAACCTATCACTGAAGAATCACTTTGGTGCCAAGACTGGGTCTAAAAGGAGTGTCCACCAGGGGCAGGGTCTTTGTGAGAAGTCATGAGAATCTATTTGTTTGTGAGTAATTCAGTCTGGTTATCATATTGACTTTGCTCAAAGACTCGGTGTCAGGTGAAATGTCTTTGTGTCCAAGTTCAAAGAGAGAAAATCTTCCAGCACTAAGGCAGCATTGCAGTGCAAACTGCCATGGTAACTTGATAAGCAACGCCATATGGGATTAAGGCTATTTATGGAAATCACTGTCGCGTAACACATTGTGCTGTGCTATTAATGTTCACTGAGCTTGTGTCAGGCAAAGAGAAGCCATATATTAATTTTGTTTCTCTGGAGCTTATCGGTCAGGGACTGAACGACAGCAGAAATGTGGTCCATGGTCAAAAGAGTCCACGGACAGAATGTCTTTTTCACCTTCATGGATGTTCAGAAGGACATCAGATCTAATTCTGCATAGTTTGAAGAAGTATGGATTCATGAACACAAGGTAGATTTGCTTGTTTGCAAAAACATTAAACTTCTAATGGAACACAAACTGTTCAAACACAAAAATCTTCTCTCTTTTCTCACCTGCACAGCTATGGACGGACTCCACTTTCTGCCAACACGTCCTTCGTCTTGCCCCGAGGTTTTACTCAGAACCAAGCTGTTCTGGGGCAAAGAGGCAGATTTCCCCAAGCTGCCCCCCATCCTACCCTCCCGCTCCCTTGTTGGCCTCGGTGGCCCCTCCAGTAGGCTGTCAGCAGAGCTACTGTGTTTGGCTCTCACACCCACTCCGGGGCCCCCTCCGTAAGGCACCAGCTCTCGAGAACTTCTGACCCCGTCTAAGCTCTCGGCCGAGTTACTGTGCTGCCTTGAACGCCCCGGGACTGCGCCGGTGTAATAGCCCCCCCTGGAGGAGCGACCAGAGGGCCCGTCAGAGCTGCCCATGTCAACAGAATTGCTGTGCTGCTTTGGGCCCCCAGAGCCTGAGCTTGAAACCAACTGTCCGCTGTTCTGGAAGTAGGCGTCCTGAGTGGACTCTGTGCTGCTCTGGGCACGCACCGATAGTGAAGACTTGGACATGCGAGGAGGAAGAGGAGGAGGTGCACCTTTG